GGGGGGGGGGGGGGGGGGGGGGGGGGGGGGGGGGGGGGGGGGGGGGGGGGGGGTTGGTGCGACCCTGAGGACACCCGGCTGAATGTGGGGAGTTTTTATTGCCTGTGCGTTCGTGAAGGAAAGACACGAAGAGGCAACGTCGGCGCAGCAGCATCGTCGAACCTGAAAAATAGTCTATGGTAAGTCTAGGTGGGGTTGTTTGTCGTCTGTAACCGCTATGTAAGCTAGACGATACGTGCAATTGGAAGCCGCAAGTAAAACGCGTGCTCGCATAAAGCCTGATCATTTTTTTTTTTTGTTAACGGTACAGTCGGGAGCCCTCTATTGAAGTACGGGTGAAAATTCGCTGGGAGAGATGGAAGCATTCAAGATGGCTCAGACATTGAATAATGCGGGTGCCGGCTGTGGTGTCGATTTTGCCGCTTGGCACATACCCGCACTTTTTCAGTAACTCTCCCGGCTACTACTGTATGCCGTTCGCACGAGGGGGGGGGCAACCTGCTGGGATGGGATTGCCGGGTTGGTGCGAGTGCACTCCCTCCGTTGGCCCGAGACCGCCGGGTGTAGGCGGTGGGGTTTATGGTGAAGGTCATTTGTTTGCCTTCGAAGATGTTGAGGGCATGTTTGCGGTTTTGGGAAGAAGCTAGGTAGGTGATGTGAGTGGGAGCGGGGTATAGGACCCCCGCACACATCTCTCTCTCTCTCGCTCTGTCTGCTAGTCACACGTACGTGCTTTATGTTCCGCTGGCGGATGTTGAATAAAGAGCGGGGTCGTCATTTCGACGTCTTCGGGAATTGCTGATAAACGCATGTCCCCACGTTTGATAGACAGACGAACAGGTGCACGTCGCCACCCCTCTCTCTCCTCCCGCTAGCGGAGTGCACAGCGGTGTTACACTGGAATCTTAGCGCAACCCCGAGCGAACAGTCTGTGGAAGTAGGTACCGGGGGGGGGATAGGCAGAGCGGAGATATTCATTGAAAGGATGCAAAGGTCGCCTGTTGCGATTCGGCAACGGAGTGCTCAGCTGCTGGGGGGGGGAAATAACGCGCGCTCGCAGGTAAGCGCGCGGCAGGAATCAGGCGCGTGTTTCGCGCGTTGAGGGTTTGGGTGTGATGTGCGTCCCAGCCGTTTCAGGCTGGTCATATGGCGTGTGTGGGGTCGAAAGGCGGACTTCGATTTCCGGATCTGGGTCGGGTAGTAGTGTTGGTGCTGCGCAGAGAACAACGCGCGGGACAGGTTGCGGGGGGGTAGGGGGGGGCCGTCGTATCACGCGCTTTGTCNGGGGGGGTGGGGGGGGGCCGTCGTATCACGCGCTTTGTCTGAGTACATTGGTAACCGTTTGTGGCGGGCGGGGTGGGGTGAAATGGTGGTATTGATGGACTGGTGTGAGTACCTGGTGGCCTGGTTTGTTGGTTGGGGCCATATTTTCGTGAGGGTTGTTGGTTTGGGTGTACATGTGTGTTCGTTTCGTGACCTTTTGTCGACTTTTTTTTTTTATTAAATGTATGATGATAATCTACATGTAGCTGTGTATTCCATCATGCTAGGTTCAAACGTAGTACGTAGCCTGGGAGGCCGGTCTCTGGATATTGCTGCCCGCGAGGTTCACGATCACCTAACCAGGGTCTTATTAGGAGCGGCTTTGGGGGGGGGCGGGGGGGGGGCAGGGGGAGGTGCGATGGTGAACGACCACAGGTTGGTTCTTCGACGGTGGCGGCCGGGTTGTGATGCTCGTTGACATGTATGGCAGAGGAGCGACACCATCTCTTAACAGTTTCGTTTCTTTGGTTATCAACCCCCCACCCCCCCAGTGTCGTGCCTCGAACGCCTCTCGTTGCGATCAGCTTGTTCTCTGTTGAGCTGTACGACCGCCCAGGACCACCGACCGCTGTGCCACCATTGCCGGCGCGCGGGTGTCTTGGCTTACAACGTTTGAGTCTGGGCTCTCGGCATGCGAAGCCAACACTTCAGTCCAGAGGGAACGAACGGCCCGTGAGTGCAAACAGACCGTGATAGTACCCACCCACATTCTAAGAGTAGGCAAAAAAAAAATTTCGACCTAGGGTGAGTAGGCGCACCTTGAACTCACGGGCCGGCGTTAGAAACAGCCTCGTGATGATGCCCGTGCATGCAATCAATGCCGTAACTCTGTTGACGATAAAACTGCCCCGCCCGCCGCCGCCCGAATCGCACAAACACTGCGAAACTCGACAGCGTAGCATTGCTAGGGCGCCAAATATTAAGAGCCGAACTTGATCAAGTCATGGGAGCACCTCATCTCGGTGTAACAGAGGGAAAAAACTGTGATGAAAAAAACTGTGAAACATATTCCGGTAGGAGACATGTATCACCCTGTCGTTAGGCATTGCAGATGGAAAGGCAGCAGGCGTGTTGGTTTAGAAGACCCAAGGCCCACACAATGATTCCCCTCCTCGTGATACTGCGGGCACACCGCACACAACGAACACGCATCTCGTTCGAACCCCCCCCGCCCCCGACTGCGAGGTCGATGGTCTAACGACTACGGCATGCACGACTATGAGTACACCCACCNGCGTGCTCCGTCCCGGCTTTGTAGGGATGCGAGGTCAATGGTCTAACGACTACGGCATGCACGACTATGAGTACACCCACCCACCCCCTCGACAAAAGCAATCGGTGCCGCGAAGGGCAGGCCAGGCCACCCCACATCCGCTATTACGTGGACATCAAGCAGTTGACGATAACTCTTCCGTCGTCTGATTTCTCGACCAGCTGAAGGTGGTTCGACGAGATACCTCCAACTACTTATTTCTGCGATTGGGCAGGTACCGCAGCTGCTGCCACTCCGTTGCCTAGGACGTGGGACCTCAGCCGCGCCAGCGTGATGAGCACCGCCTCCTCCGTGCGGATGGTTCGGCTGCCCTGCCCAGGGCAGGTGTTGACCCACATGTCGAAAAGCTTGGAAGACTCGCTCCCGGGGAGTTGCAGAGATTCGTCGGCGTCCACGGTGGCCTCGATACCCTGGAGGGACGAGGGGTCAAGAACAACGAGGATACACGAGAGCTTCCTGTGTGGTGCCGGTGGCCGGGAAAATACCGGTACTTTCGGCGGGCACACACTCTGAATTCCCAAGTCACTCTCGATACCTTGAATATAGTGCCGGTCCGGTTTCGTGCCGGTGAAATTTCTTGGCACATACGGTAGATACCAGCAGTGAACAGGGACCTCTACTGCACGCCATTTTTGAAACCCAGCCCCTTAGCACGTGCGTCTAAAACAGGCGGCCAGACAGCGACACGGACGTACAGCCGCGCATCAGGTACTGTGGGATTATTCTCCAGACACTGGTCCCATGCCCCTTCCGTTGCCGCGGCCACGCTGAGGGGAAACCTTGCCAGAAATTTTGTTCATTTGGGAAGCTATGTAGTTAATCCAAAATCCTTCCCTTATCGGCTCACGCATGGACAAGCGCGATCTGCCAGAGTCACGGCCGGGAGTTGAGCCTCCGATCTCGATGATCCAACGGTTACGGCAATTTTTTTCTTGTGCGTTTTGCTTCCACTATTTCTGGTTTTACCTTGCGGGCTGTCTGCAGCGAAAAGGGGGGGCTGGAGGACGCGAGCCATGGAACTACCGCAACTACAGGCACCAGCTCGGAACCCCCCCACACACAAGCGACGACACAAGCATCTCGTCAAGCCCACGCTGTTTTCGAGAGCCTGCAACATCCGTTTCGAACCGCCGCAATGGACCACAACAGCCCGAGAGCCAAATGCGTTTCGGGCCCCAGCAACAATCCGAGACGAACGTCCCGGGGACTGTATACCTCTGGCCCTGCTGAATCAACGGAAAAAAACTAAACAAAAAAAACGATGCCGGTCCTAACTCAATACCGCTTCTTCCACCACCACCAACATCACCATCATCAACACCACTACCGCCACAACTGCAAGCAAAAAAAAAAACAAAACAGAACCGGAACCCTAACCCTAACTCGAACCTGCACGCCGCCGAAGACGACGAGGGCGTGGCGGTACTCCGGCAGCGCGAAGTCGGGGCTGTCGACCGTTACGTTCCCGCGCTCCGACGTCCCGACGGTAAGATCGTACCTGCCACCAGCCACGACGTCATCATGATGAACAAAAGGGGGGGACGCGGCCATATCAACGCCACAGAGTTTTTTTTCTTGGAGGAGAAAATTCCACACGGTAGATAAGAGGTCACGAAAAAAGAAATGTCGTCTTGTCCGTCCGTAGGCAGCGACTCTCGACACGTGGAGGACATGGCAGAAGCGACGTCGTTTGTCCATCTGTGGTTTGTGCGGGGTGTCAAGGAGCCAGACGCGTTAAGCCCGTCCCACCCACAGGTATAGCACATGGAATCACCAAAGAGCAGGCAACAACAGCGACAACAACTGCAGCAGCTAACCCGACATCAGAACCATCAAACCACGGGATTGGAGTGCTCAAAACACCCCACCCCCCTAACCGCTAAGGCATGCAAAACGAGCACACACACACACCCCCGGCCCTCCCCCGTTCTCACCCGCCCTTGTAGGGACAGCCGGCAAGCAAATCCGCCATCCCGCTGGCGAGACGCGTCTGGTACCCCCAGTAAAGCCCCAGCTCTTCGCGAGGGGCCGACGGAGGCACCGCCCTCCCCTTGTGGTTCTTCTTGCACGGGTCTCCCTGACAAAAAGAAGCGGTAACGGTAGACGACAAAGCGGTAACCTTGTTTGCAAGGAAACAAAAAGCCGGGCTCATTCGGGGTCTCCCTGAGTATATTAAGATAAACGATAAACCAAACAAGAAGCCACGGCCGCGTGTCTTGAGTGCATCCTGGTTGTCATGAAGGTGTAAAGGGAGCGGAGGGGGGGAGTGCCGCAGCCAGTTGAGGCTGTGTAATGGGAACGGAACGGTAGAATTAGAAGTGCGACCCAGTACCCAAACTTGAGAAAACATATCAAGCGTCCCGAAGAAATGGAAGGGCGGCATGTACTAAACGACAAAAAAAACAAATACACATTGTGCGCATGGTAGGTCTCTTCGCGTTGCAAGGTCTCCCATTGCAGCTCGAAAACTTGGGCCTCTACGGGTAGAGGAACGGGGGCATGGGGAAAGAGAGCGAGCCATGCTGGAAACGCCGAGAAGTAAGACACAGAAAAGAGTGCCACGTCTGGACGGGCGTCAAACGCGCATTTCCCGCGTCTTGCTTTCCAACACATGCACGTCGTTTTTGAGCTATGGTTCGCTGTCGCAAGCGAATTCAAGTTTGATGCTGGACCCTTGTGTGTACACCTCCAGACCAACGTTCTCTCTGTCCCGTTCTTGTCGTGCCTTCTTATGTCACACTTGCTCCATGAAAATACAAATTTCACCCCGAGTAGATAGACACCTTATCGAGCTTCACCGTCACCCGCACCCCAGGGTCCAGCGGGCGGTCGATCCGCGCTTCCTGCGGCGTGATTTGGTTCCAAGACGACGCAAAAATAAGGAATTTAAGGACGTGGGCGGGGGGTAAAGAGAGAGGACGTGGAGGGGCGGGGCAAGGGAAGGAGTCATTCAACCGTTGCCTTGGTATCAAGGCCAATTCACCCATTGTCTTACCAAAAGACCGTCCGTCCACTGTCTCATCAAGACCCTTGTCTCATGAAAAGACCATTCGCCTGTTGTCCTATCAAGACCCACCGCCTTCTCAAAAAGACCGTTCGACCATCGCCTCATAAAGGCGATGCATACACCGTCTTCATCACCATCTCTAGGAAATTTCATTATTTTCCTAGAGAACACGCTTCATCGGAGTTACAGGCAGACAAGACCACGTCTGAGGGACGAAACAACGTTTCCTTGCAGTAAATCTCAGCGGTGGCGGCGGTAGTGATGGGGCAGACTTCTTGCTGTCTGGTGCAACACAACTGCTACGCTCTTACGTAGCGTGTGCGTGGCGGGTGCACAAGGCGGCAAAATATATTGCCGCGTGACACCTTCGCTCTGCTAATGCCTGCGCCATCGACGGGCGCGAGAACACGAGGCGAACTGTTAAGCTTCCGTACAGCTTAACGTCGTGTTGGCGTGGTTGGTGCCGCAGGTTGCGGAAGATACCACACCCCCTTGACCGGTTTTCAAAGCTCGATTACTCCACGACGAAGAGGGTGCCGAAATTGAAGTATACGTTTTCGGAAAAATATCGACGAGACGGTTCCAACGCCTAGCGCCATTTTCGGCACCGTCACTGTTGTTTTTCCTGTGAAGATATCGAGCTTCGAAAATCGGTCCAGGGGGTGTGATATCTTACGCAACCTACGGTACCCTGTCCGCACCCTCCTTCTTCTAGGGACTCGGTGACGCCCCACACACGCACACGCGGTGCGGCATCTGAGAAGCACCTTGCCAAGGGCTTTTTGGAAGGGTCGAACCAGGTATTCTGCGATACGCAAGAAACCTCGGAAACGATCTCGTTGCGGACAATTCGGACCTACAAGCTCCTTTCGAGGTGAGGAAGCTGTCCTGTTTCGTCCTACCGTGAGTTGCTATGCACAATTTTGCTTTTACATTGGAGGCCGCGTGCCGTTAAAGAGGATTGGTTCCGAGCAATTCGATGATCACGGGAAAGCAAGCAGACAAGGCGAGTGAAGAAGTCCTACGTGGAACAGCAACACAACCCAAAAGCGCGTTCGCCAAAACGCCGACCAAAAAAAGAAACGTCCCGTCAAAATCCCTCTCTACAAACACCCAGACGAGATGGAGAAGAGAGAGATGCGATCAACAGCACACTCACCTTACGCTTGCCGATATCGACGAAGGAGCCGGCCCCCTTTTTGATCGTCCGGTCGAGCACCACCCCTTCCCGAAAGGGGCAGGCGTCGTCCGCCCTCATGTGGTGCGGCGCGTCCAGCGGGTTCAGCAGGCCGGCAAGGCGAAGGCTGGAGTGCATCGGGAACAGCTGCTTCCGGAGGTACTGCGGGGTTTCCGCGTACTGCAAGGGGGGAGACGGTTGTAGGGGTGAGGGG